CACCTCTGGCTCTCAAACACCTGTCCGACGCAGTGTTGAAAGATAATGCTCTGTCGGTGAAATTCAAACTTTATTGTGGTCACTGTGGTCAATAAGGCAAGACCTCTCAAAGGATGACAGAAAAGCTGAAAATGAACCTCATTGAAGCGAAACGTCTAAATGGGGATAGAAATGAAGAAAGAAGTTATTTTTTCTACAAAGTGTCAGGGACTGGAAAGCTTGTGAAATGGTACATAAAGACAAAGCAACAAAATCATTAAAGGAAAGTGGTGTAAAGTACAAAGGGATGGGGGAACATGTTCCTGAAAATAGTATACACCAACATAGATGGAGTGAGATCGAAAATATTGGAGTTGAAGGATATAATCAAGCTCAAAGTCCCAGATATTGTCACATTAACAGAGACGAAGCTTGAAGAAAATATTTTAAATGAAGTCGTATTTCCAAGGGGCTACTCAGTTTGGAAACGTGACAGGAAAACTAGGAAGGGAGGAGGAGTGACTGTGCTGGTGAAAGAACACCTGAAGGTAAGAGGTAATAATTGAAAACCTTCCAGATATTGACATAATGGCATTGCAGATCTGGAATCAAGATGATAAGTAGATAATTTTAAATGCCTACAGCCCACCAGCAAGCAACACATGGACAAAGGAAGAGCTGGATGAGAAACAAGAGGGCCTCATAATGGTCATGAGAGAGATTATGGTAAGAGCTGACAAAGATAAATCCCGATTGTTGGTACTGGGGACTTCAACTTTAAGGCAATAGACTGGGAGGTCTATGAGGCAAGAACAGAGGACATTTGGACAGGCATATTTGTAAACCTCATCTTGGAGACATTAATGTATCAACACGTCAAGCAGGCCACAAGAATGAGGGAAGGGGATGTTATGTCAATACTGGATCGAATATTCACCCGGAAAGAAGAAGAGGTATTTGACATCCAGCACCTTCCTCCCTTGGGAAAGAGTGATCATGTTCTCTTGGACATTAAATATGCTTTGCGATATATTCTAGTAGAGAATGGGGACACTGAAACAGTTGTTAAATGCGATTTCAAGAGAGAGGATGCTATGGGGAACTTAGACATTTTTTTCATGGGTATAATTGGACAAACTTGTTGCTAGGTAAGGAAGTAAATGAGATGTATGCCATATTTTGCAAAATATATGATGAAGGCACACAAACATTCATACCAAAACAGACATGCAGACCTAGGAAACAGGATTGGTTCAACAGAAATTGCGAGAGAGCCAGAGATCAAAAGACACAGGCATGGAATCATTATTAGAAGAGGCCAAACCCCCAAACATACCAGCGATACAATGATGCGAGAAACAAGTACACGTCAGTAAGAAGAGAGGCAGAGAGGAACTTTGAAAATGGTATAGCAGACAAATGTAAATCAGATCCAGGCCTTTTCTATAAATTCATTAAAAGCAAGCTGCAGGTAAAGGATAATATTCAGAGGTTGAAAATGGGGGACAGATACACAAAAAATGAAAAGGAAATGTGTGAAACATTAAACAAAAAGTTCCAAAGTGTGTTTGTACAAAATGAAATCTTCAGAGAACCAGACACCATAAGAATTCCAGAGAACAACATAGAGCATATAGAGGTGTCTAGAGATAAAGTGGAAAATATGCTAAAGGAGCTAAGTAAGAACAAAGCAGTTGGTCCAGATGGAGTTTCACCATGGGTTCTGAGAGAATGTGTATCTGAGCTCAGCATTCCACTTCACCTGATCTTTCAGGCATCCCTGTGTACAGGAATCCTGTAAGCAATTCGGCAATGTTTGCATGAAACGCTATGCGTACTAGTGGCTTTAGATATTGTATGTACTACCTCTCTCTAAATCAAACAGAATGTTTGTACTGTAACTCTGCAACTATGTATGTACTTTTCCTAAATAAATTATTATATTATATAATCGTAGCAGAGATTTGGAAAAAGGCTAACATAGTTCCAATCTACATAAGTGGCAGCAGGGAAGACCCCTCAATTATAGACCTGAATCATTGACAAGTATAATAGTCAAAACATTGGAAAAAATTATAAAAACTAAATGGGTAGAACACCTGGAGAGAAATGATATAATATCAGATAGACAGTATGGTTTTCGATCTGGAAGATCCTGTGTATCGCATTTACTTAGTTTCTATGATCGAGCCACAGAGATTTTACAGGAAAGAGATGGTTGGGTTGACTGCATATATCTGTACGTAACAAAGGCTTTCGACAGAGTTCCACATAAGAGGTTGTTCTGGAAACTGGAAAATATTGGAGGGGTGACAGGTAAGCCTCTAACATGGATGAAAGATTTTCTGACTGATAGAAAAATGAGGGCAGTAATCAGAGACAGTGTATTGGACTGGAGAAATGTCACAAGTGGAGTACCACAGGGTTCAGTTCTTGCACCAGTAATGTTCATTGTCTACATAAATGATCTACCAGTTGGTATATGGAATTATATGAACATGTTTGCTGATGATGGTAAGATAATAGGAAGGATAAGAAACTTAGCTGATTGTCATGCCCTTCAAGAAGACCTGGACAAAATAAGTATATGGAGCACCACTTGGCAAATGGAATTTAATGTGAATAAATGCCATGTAATTAAAAGTGGAATAGGAGAACATAGACCCCACACAACCTATAAATTATGTAAAAAATCTTTAAAGAATTCTGATAAAGAAAGAGATCTAGGGGTGGTTCTAGATAGAAAACTATCACCTGAGGACCACATAAAGAATGTTGTGCGAGGAGCCTATGCCACACTTTCTAACTTCAGAATTGCTTTTAAATACATAGACGGCGAAATATTAAAGAAATTGTTCACAACATTTGTTAGTCCAAAATTAGAATATGTAGCGGTTGTGTTGTGCCCATATCTTAAGAAGCACATCAACAAACTGGAAAAGGTGTAAAGACATGTTACTAAGTGGCTCCCAGAACAGAGGGGTAAGAGCTATGAGGAGAGGTTAGAGGCATTAAATATGCTGAAACTACAAGACAGAAGAAAAAGAGGTGATATGATCACTACGTACAAAATAGTAACAGGAATTGATAAAATTGATAGGGAAGATTTCCTGAGACCTGGAACTTGAAAAACAAGAGGTCATAGATTTAAACTAACTAAACAAAGATGCTGAAAAAATATAAGAAAATTCACTTTCGCAAACAGCGTGGTAGACGGTTGGAACAAATTAAGTGAGAAGGTGGTGGAGGCCAAAACCGTCATTAGCTTCAAAGCGTTATATATCAAAGAGTGCTGGGTAGACGGGACACCACGAGCATAGCTCTCATCCTGTAACTACACTTAGGTAATTACACATGCACACCCTGATGCAAGATGAGATTGTGGTAATGGTGCAATCACAAAGTCACCTGAGTAATTACATGGCACAATGAGTCACTCAGTCATGTTGGTACAGACTAAGTCCTTCTCATATATTTCACAAAACACACAAGTCAAAATAATAGTCTATCTTTATACAAAATAAGTGTGATAATGTATATAGAGTCGGCTAGACACATTGCGACTTTGTTTCCACACTGATATCCCAGATAATGAATGCTTTAACATTCTATTACTCCTGCTTCTGCTATCACTTAGTTCACTTGGGTTAGTATATTAGTGACTGTCACTTCTAAAAGTTCCTATATATACAGACTCTGTAGCAGGTTAAACAACTTAGGGACCCTTTGGGACACAAGCCCGATATACACGATAAATGCTAGAGAACTTTGCTGGAGTCCAGAGATGTTTAATTGCATCTTGATGTGGCTGCATCAAGATCTTGCGTCTAAACTAGGTAGACTCTCAAACAAAGAGAGACAATCGTACCAACGTGGGTTGGTTGCCCAAAACCCTTTGTTGGCAGATCACTGATGTTAGAACCAGTGGGGCATCAGCTGTCAAAACTGACCAATGATAATACAACTGTCATGCCAGTTACGGAAAAGGCAGAAGCTTCTGGAAGCTAGAAGAGGGCATACATGACTTGTGACTTTGCATCTAGTGGGTCTTGATCTGACCGTCTTGTCCTGGCGATACAATACACATCCTCACACCTTCCTTAGCTACCACCAGCTAGCTCATTACTCCTCCTCACATATCCCAGTAATGAATATCACATACTCAGATAGCTTTTCTTCTGCTCCTTATTGCATCCTTAATAACAGGCATATGACAGCCATTACAATACCATTGGATTGTCCATGTTATTCCCTATACATAGTAAACATGACTTGCCAGATGCATAACAAACCAATTAAGGACTGTGCACATGCAAGTGCATGGCATGACAAAGTCCACACTGTTGCTCCTGATGTGCACAACCCTTGCACTTAACCACTGCACTGCTCAGCATTAAAATGGGGGTGTGCATTCAGCACACCCCCATGGTGTGCCAAAAATAAATTCTTAAAAAAAATATTTTTCTCTTCTTATTTTGTTAAAATGCTGTCTCTGATCACGGGAAACTAAAAAAAAAAATTGTTCTCACCTAATTGTGCTTGTGGGGGTTGAGCTTTGGCTTTTTGGTCCCGCCTCTCAACTGTGTAGGTGTATGTGATCTACTTTAGCCGTGATATGAACCCTGTGTAGCCGCGGAAGTTTTGAATGGTACGCTGTACCCACAAGTGTCCTGAGGTGCCCTGCACATCCCCGATCTAGCGGCTCAAAGCGCTCTGCACAGTGCAGTGGTTAAAGCAATGTGAACTTCCATATTCTCATACCAGCTATATTTCACGACTGTATTGAGTTCCATAAGTGTTTTGTGTATCCAACACCATCTTCACTACTTCTATCATGACCATCACCAATATCCTTTTGTGGAACACTGCTTCTTCCCTGGTGTTGGATTGCATAATTTTGGCTGAACAATTTAACTGTTATGTGTGTGATTCAGTATACAGTATTTATCTATATATATTAATGTATTTAATGTTTATTTTTGTTTGTGTAATACTTAATTTTTATATTTACATATCTTCAGGTCTACCAATACAGCGAGATCAGTTCATGATGCTTCTCTATGGACTTGACGGTATTTTCATTCGAGCCAATTATTGGACTAATTCAATTGAAGCCAGGTATGTCTTTTAAAGAAGGAAATTCTGCCTCTAATAGTTTTAATAAGCTGAAAGAGCTAAAAAAAAAACAGCGACGAATGTAATGAAACACCATTTTCTGGGTGAGCCCCGAAGACTCCATGGAGCTTATTGGGCTAATGTATGCAATATTAGACCAGGACATTAGCTATGGAGTTCAGACCTACCAGGTACCAGTGCCAGAACCTCTCCTCTTCAGAGAGGTTTCAGGGAGCAATGGCCCTGGAAAACCCACTTGTGGTTGAGGGTTTTCCTTATTCACCATCGACCGGGGTTAGGCACCCAGAACGGTAGGCATAATGAAACAAACCCTACATGGTAAGTAACTAAAACAAAAAACCAAACAGAGGTAGAAACTCCCTACAATCCCAAGAAAACAAGCAAACAAGGGGGTTTTCCAGGGCCATTATTCCCTGAAACCTCTCTGAAGGGGCCAGGTTCTGGTGCTGGTCCCTGTAGGTCTGAACTCCATAGCTAATTTCCCGATCTAATATAACATACATTAGCTCGATAAGCTCCAAGGAGCCATAGGGGCTTCCCCTCAGAAATATATGATTTATATTAATAAGTCACAATGAATCCTGAAAATGTTATATTGACCTTCATTTTAAATTCTATGATGTGTTTCTGAAAAACCTAGTGCAGAGCATGTTTGGGTAGTGAAGTTAATAGTGTGCATGTCTGAAATTACTTTTCCTGGGATCACCTCTATTTGCAATATTGTTAACCCTTTAACTGCGCGGCCTATAAATATGACGCCCCCTTAGTGCGCAAGAAATAAATTCTCGGGAAAAAATTCATTTTTTGTTCTGAAAGTGTCAAAAACCCCTCCATGTATATGGGTATAGCAACGGAATTTCGAAATTGTATTTACTTTGGCTGCTATGGGGTCCATAAGGTGGCGCGTGACGTCATCATTCCCTGTGCGCCCGTGCCGTAAGCTCCCGGGGCCGGTGGGGCGCCCGGGGCGGGGTGTGCAAGTTGCCGTGAATGTATTTTTGTTCATTTTTTGCGCACAGTTCCAAATACATTATATTTGTTTTTACGTGCTAATCCTATGTATAATGAACACATACACTACATTATGTCAGTAAAACATCCGTACTGTCCAAGGACACTGTGTTACTTGCATGACACTTGTGTACACATATGTTGCACATATTTACCATGTATCATGCTAATTTATGTATATATACAATCTATTTACAGACTATACACTGTCACACACACTATATACATTCACCATCAACACATTCAGAATATCGTGAGTGTGAGCAGCCACACCCAGCCAGCCCTCCCTAACTCCTCCAACATTGCTCCTCCCATCATACAGTTATTCACACCAATGTTTCATGTTCATGTATGTATATTTACAACATATGTACACACTATACACAGTCACACACTATATACATTCACCATCAACACATTCAGAACATTGCCAGTGTGAGCAGCAACACCCAGCCAGCCCTCCCTCACTCCTCCAACATTGTATTTGCCAACATTGCTCCTCCCATCATACAGTTATTCACACCAATGTTTCATCTTCATTTATGTATATTTACAACATATGTACACACTATACACTGTCACACACTATATACATTTACCATCAACATATTAAAACATCGCGAGTGAGTGCAGCCACACCCAGACAGGCTCTCCCTCACTCCAACATCTTACTCGCCAACATAGCTCCTCCAACCATACTGTTATTTTTTTATTACACTATTTACGCATGTTATATACTGTATACCTATCTACATGTTTTATTTACCAGAACTATGCAAGTAAGCCGGTATTGTGTCCAAACAGTAAAGTGGCCACCATACACTGCATGAGAAATCACACAGCAAAAAATTTAAAAAGTTTAATCACAGTTTAACACTTTCGCACTCTCCGCGAAGGTCAGGGAAACAACCGTAAGTGCTCACGGCGTTTTGCTGCGTAAGCATAAAAACAAAAATGTGTATACTCTTTTTAATCTCATGACCTTAGTTCTTGAGCTACGTATTTCATTTTGGTACCAACGTGTTCGCAATAAAATTCTCTAGAAGAACATCAGTAAAAAAAGTCACGAAACGTATAGGGATACCAGCACCAAATAAATAACTACGAAGATGACTCGCCGTGAGCGCCCAACAGCAACAAAATGTTTTTACTCTTGGGATTGTTATCACCTCCACACTTGTCCTACAGCGTTAATTTTGGTATCAATGGACTCGCAATGAAATTCTCAACACGGTGATATGAATATAAGCGTAGAATAATGATTGCAGCCCGCCCGCAAGAGTGTGGGAAGTGGTGAAATTGTTACCCGGTGACGGGACGACGCACGGCGCTTTGAAAGTTTATACTTATTTCATTCTCATGACATTATTATTCTATGTACGTCATTCATTTTTGTGTCAATGTGTTCGCAATAGAATGTTCTATGAGCCCGTAGGTAAAAAAGATCAACAAAGCGTAAGATAGAATAGCGCCAAATATAAAACAACGCTGGAACATATCAGTGAGAATCAAACACACACGAAATGTTTTTACTTTTGTTATGTTTGTGAACCTTTCATGAACTTATTGTACCATGCAGCCTATTGGTGAGAAAGAGAGCCTCATGGCGCTCAGTTTGAAACAAACCCAAAGTAAATCGGATAAAAATTGAATTTTATACAAATATTTTAAAAGAGGACATAAGTTTATGTCCACTATGCGGTCGCGTTAGGCGAAACAGGACTCCTCGGTGAGTCCGGTTAGCGCGAAAGTGTTATTATTAAAAGAAAACCTGCTGCCAGTATACACCAATTTTTATATATATATATATATATATATATATATATATATATATATATATATATATATATATATATATATATATATATGTCGTATCTAGTAGCCAGAACGCACTTCTCAGCCTACTATTCAAGGCCCGATTTGCCTAATAAGCCAAGTTTTCATGAATTAATTGTTTTTCGACTACCTAACCTAACCTAACTTTTTCTGCTACCTAACCTAACCTATAAAGATAGGTTAGGTTAGGTTAGGTAGGGTTGGTTAGGTTTGGTCATATATCTAGGTTAATTTTAACTCCAATAAAAAAAATTTACCTCATATATAATGAAATGGGTAGCTTTATCATTTCATAAGAAAAAAATTAGAGAAAATATATTAATTCAGGAAAACTTGGCTTATTAGGCAAATCGGGCCTTGCATAGTAGGCTGAGAAGTGCGTTCTGGCTACTAGGTACGACATATATATATATATAAGCCAAGCTAATAAGCCAAGTTTCCATGAATTAATTGTTTTTCGACTACCTAACCTACCTAACCTAACCAAACCTAACTTTTTCGGCTACCTAACCTAACCTAGCCTATAAAGATAGGTTAGGTTAGGTTAGGTAGGGTTGCTTAGGTTCGGTCATATATCTACGTTAATTTTAACTCCAATAAAAAAAATTGACCTCATACATAATGAAATGGGTAGCTTTATCATTTCATAGGAAAATAATTGGAGAAAATATATTAATTCAGGAAAACTTGGCTTATTAGGCAAATTGGGCCTTGCATAGTAGGCTGAGAAGTGCGTTCTGGCTACTAGGTACGACATATATATATATATATATATATATATATATATATATATATATATATATGTCGTACCTAATAGCCAGAACGCACTTCTCAGCCTACTATGCAAGGCCAAATTTGCCTAATAAGCCAAGTTTTCATGAATTAATTGTTTTTCGACTACCTAACCTACCTAACCTAACCTAACCTAACTTTTTCGGCTACCTAACCTAACCTAACCTATAGAGATAGGTTAGGTTAGGTTAGGTAGGGTTGGTTAGGTTCGGTCATATATCTACGTTAATTTTAACTCCAATAAAAAAAAATTGACCTCATACATAATGAAACGGGTAGCTTTATCATTTCATAAGAAAAAAATTAGAGAAAATATATTAATTCAGGAAAACTTGGCTTATTAGGCAAATTTGGCGTTGCATAGTAGGCTGAGAAGTGCGTTCTGGCTACTAGGTACGACATATATATATATATATATATATATATATATATATATATATATGTCGTACCTAATAGCCAGAACGCACTTCTCAGCCTACTATTCAAGGCCCGATTTGCCTAATAAGCCAAGTTTTCATGAATTAATGTTTTTTCGTCTACCTAACCTAACCTAACCTAGCTTTTTTTGGCTACCTAACCTAACCTTACCTATAAATATAGGTTAGGTTAGGTTAGGTAGGGTTGGTTAGGTTCGGTCATATATCTACTTTAATTTTAACTCCAATAAAAAAAAATTGACCTCATACATAATGAAATGGGTAGCTTTATCAATTCATAAGAAAAAAATTATAGTAAATATATGAATTCAGGAAAACTTGGCTTATTAGGCAAATCGGGCCTTGAATAGTAGGCTGAGAAGTGAGTTCTGGCTACTAGGTACGACATATATATATATATATAATTATATATATATTATATATATATATATATATATGTTGTACCTAGTAGCCAGAACGTCGTACTCGGCCTACTAAGCAAGGCCAGATTTGTCTATTAAGCCAAGTTTTCATGAATTAATGTTTTTTCGACTACCTAACCTACCTAACCTAACCTAACTTTTTCTGCTACCTAACCTAACCTAAGCTATAAAGATAGGTTAGGTTAGGTAGGGTTGGTTAGGTTCGGTCATATATCTACGTTAATTTTAACTCCAATAAAAAAAATTGACCTCATAGACAATGAAATTGGTAGCTTTATCATTTCATAAGAAAAAAATTAGAGAAAATATATTAATTCAGGAAAACTTGGCTTATTAGGCAAATCAGGCCTTGCATAGTAGGCTGAGAAGTGCGTTCTGGCTACTAGGTATGACATATATATATATATATATATATATATATATATATATATATATATATATATGTCGTACCTAGTAGCCAGAACGCACTTATCGGCCTACTATG